AAACTTGCCTCTATTTTGAAAGGCTACAATCACTATTCTAAAACAAGCCGCTAATTAACATCTCCAATCAATACTTGTGCTGTGCTTATTGATTTATTGTGCCACGTCACTGATGTTAACTTTTAGTGAAACTAATTTTTTTGCCGTGTTAGCAATTATAAATTAATTTCTAATGCATCCAGCACTCTAAATATTCTGAAATTTAATTAATTTAGAATAGTGAGTGTTGCAGAAAAAAATATTTACAGTGCTAATAAGATAAAATTTTCTTGACAAAAAAAGAAGGGGAGGGAGCATCTCATCTCTGAAACGCTGCCATTCGGGGGAGATGAGCATTCAATGAGCAGGGAATGCGGATTCTTCGGACCACCAGTTTCAAAGTCACATTGAATGGAGCACACGCGCACACACAATCAAACAAAACTCAAGAAGAATCGCATTTCACCATCGCTCCCACCGTTCCCAGGTAAATCAACATACATGTAATCCATCAATCCAGCTGAATAAAAGATGGAGACTTCATAGACAAATTAGGAAGTGATAGACCGAAACTGAATGGTGCGGTTCGTCATATATGTTTTATGAGACGAACCAAAATTACTGGACTACGATGTGTTGCTTACAAATCGGTTCTTAAATCTTAAAAGAGAAAGAAGAAATGATCTGAAACCAGTGGCAACCACATGAACGGCCACAACGTGGATTTGTTACAATATATTCTCATGATTTATTCAGGCATTGTACAAAGGAAGAATTCCTTTTAATTTTTTTTCAAATCTAGCAATATTTTTAACTCTGTTCTCATGTGGAACATAGTAGTATCTTCACAGTTCATTTAGGTCATGCATGGGGAGCATTCTTTCTTTTTATTATAAACTATTAAGGCCAATGTACTACTCAACATAATAAACACAGTAAACAAGTGCAATGTAACGAAAAAGCCATTAAGTACAATACTAACGTAGTAAGGTGCAATCCTCTATTCCCCCAAAAATAAAAAAGCGCAATCCTCCCGTGGGACGCGCCAGTTATGACAGAATAAAACAGTAAACACATCAACAGATGGATGAGTCATGTCAGATGGATTCAAACCAAATAAAGAGTCAATAAAATCAAAGCTTCTTTAAAAAAAATTCGGCCCATTTTGTAATTGGCATGGTAACTATATTACTAAAACGCAATTTACAACTTTGGCAACTAAGGCGCAAGCTTTTGTTACTACTGATATTCATGCTCCATCTTATTTCGCAATATATAGACATTTGCATAACAAATCCTTACCCAAGCTATATCCATGGCTCAAATGTTACAGAATCAGGCAATCAGTCACGCTCATTATATCAAAAGATGCCCAAAAATCATAAGAAACCAAGTATATTAGCATAAGTCACACGCAATAAGACGGGTTTCTCTAGATTCAAACTTTAGTTTGCTTACATACTTCAGTTGAGATGCCGGATTCCCCATACTAATTGTAAGGAACTTTACGAAGGCACCAGCGCCTACTATGAATCTCAGACAAACTCTTGCATCTACGTCTCCCGATACTTAAAATCAAAGATCAATAAGATAATGGTAGTTATAACCAAGGAACCACATCATTGCATTTCTCGAAAGGGAAACAAACTTCATTGCGGCGCTTGATTACCCACCTCAACATCTTACGCAGCAATTTAGAGGCAGTTTCTTGATCTCATGATTTGAATTACCTAGGGATAATGGCCATAACTAACTTCATTTAACTGTGACTAAAGTCATTTAAATGCAGTTAGTTATGGCACACTTATCTGTAGGTTCTGCCCCGAATGCTCGCGCCTTCTGTAGATAGCAGCAGACTAATACTTCATAGTACACACATATTATTCGGAAACTGGCTGCCCGTAAGGAGCATGCGATCGACGAATCGAAGGCATCTTGGTTTCGATTGAGACTAGGGATTGAAGTCATGAGGAGCATTTTAAGAGCGATTCCTGGGCTCATGGTTTAAATATCATCCATTAATCAGGCGCCATAACTAACCAGAACCAAAGTAATCTAAACGACATCATTCATGGAACCTTAATGAATGAATCATTTACCCATGAGTTATTTATGAAGGTGAAGGAAGGAATCGATCGTATCCAAAGATTTGGTGAGTTGGATTGAAGATAAAAGTTTGCAGTTGAGAAGGAAAATAAACCCCGGGGGGGGGGGAATCTAAGGAAGGGAATAACCTAGAAGATACATTGAAAGCAGCGGCTAGAGTTCAGATCGGAGAAAAGAGTGAGTTCGACGGCGCAGAAAATTCATCGCCAGACGGAGATGAACTTTTGCATCAGGGAAAGGAATCTGATGAGAGAAAGGAGGGTTAAATTTCTGGCGCGAGAGTTAATACTGAAAACCTGATGCAACCCCTATCTAACCCTAAGGCTTGCTGACGGGCCTTTAATACCGCAAACACCACTGTTTTTAGGCCATTTTCCCCCGCCTCCCCTCCCTAGAGCATAGTTAATCATTTTATTTTATTTTTTTTCCACTTATAGTTTATGGTTGATGCCCAGACCGTCTCAGACACGCAGAAGAATCTGTATGTTCAAATCGTTTAAATTTAAATTAAATTAAGCAATGTACTTTAGAAATGACTAAATGTATATACATTTGGTCCTTTAATTTATACAATGATTCAATTTGGTCTCTTAATTTTAAAAAGCATACATTTAGTTCTTTAACCCTAAAATCATTAGGTTTCAATGATATTTTTTGCGATAATTATTGATGTTTTGAAAATTAAATTTAATCTGTTAGCATTTAAAAATATTTTATTAACATTTAATATATTAATGTTATCGTCTTTTTTTAAAAAATATAAAATTAAAAGACTAAAAATATATTTTTTAAAATTAATTAATCTAATTAAAATTTTATACAAAATTAAAAGAAGAAATACATACTTCAGCTTTTAGAAATTTATGAATAAAGCCCACTAATATTTGACTTAGGTAAGCCACATACCTGCTTTATAAGAAAAATATGATACAAGGTGAGTTCTTCTTTTTGGGCCTAAGATACAAGGTGAGTTCGGTCCCCTCATATTGTGGGGATTCCCTTTATGTATCCATTATACAAATTTTCAAACAAAGTATCAAGGGAGTTTGGCAATCCGCGTTTTACGATAATTTTATAAACCCATTTAGGCTAACCATACCTGCATTATAAGGTTAATAATATTATTCTTTTTGAGTAGACATGCTGTTTAAATAAATGTAGAAAATATATATCATCATCATCATTATTATTGGCGGGGTGAAATGTTGGAAGATGATTTGAAACTGTACGAAGTAAACACCCCGAAATGACCACACAAAAAACACAACTTGAACATGAAGCTTTTGGTAAATAAGAATAATGGGATTTTATTAAATTTGAAGCTTGCCTTCCGTGAAAATCAGGGGCAAAAGAAGGTCAAATTTTGTAGTTGGAGTATGGCCAAATCTACTCCATAAAATCAATTGAGCAGGAGTATTCTTAATGGATAGAATTGGGATGAGTTGATACTTTGAGATTATCCAAGTATTTCTCCTTTGAAAAATAGTTAGCATAAAAATCACTTCTATTAATCCAGAGTATAAATACAATGCTAAGGTATGCAAGACGTGCGATCATGTCACAACACATCAACAGATGATAAGTTGTGTCCGAATAAAAACATCAAGAGATGCATTGTGAACGGGCCAGATTCAAACCAAATAAAAATTCAGTAAAATCAAAACTTCAACAAAATTCAGCCCATGTCGTCTTGCATGGTTGATACAATACAAAAAGACCCAAGCTTTTGTGCTCATACTAATGCAATTAATCTTCATGCCTCTAAATCAGAAGCTTCGTTATATCTATGGTTCAAATGTTACAAAATCAGGTAACCAGTCACGTTCGTTCTATCAAAGATCCCGAAAAATCCCAAGTAAAAAAAAAGTACATGGTCCGAGTTCTACAAAATAAGATGAATTTCTAGATTTAAACTTCGCTTAGGTTCCTCAGTTGACATGCCGGATTCTCCATAATTGTAAGGAACCTTGTGAAGAGACCAACGCCTACCATGAATCTCGTAGACAAACACTCGCGTCTCCGTCTCCCTATAATTGAAAATAAAATATCAATAAGATAATGGTAAGCTATAGCCCAAGGAACCACTCATATTGCATTTCTCAAAGGAGAACCAAACCTTCATCTCATCGCTTGATTACCCACCTCAACATCTTACGAAGCAGATTAGAAGCAATTCTTGATCTCTTGTTTTCAATTACCTACTGATCAATGGCCATAACTAACTTCATTTAACTGGGACTAAAGTCATTAAAATGAAGTTAGTTATGGCACATTGGTCAATAGACTCTGCCCCAACTGGCAGGCAGTATCAATGATCAACATGCTCGCACCTAATTTTTGTAGATAGCAGTAGGCTAATGTTTCCTAGCACTCGATCTAAAGAGCACGCGATCGGACGAATCGAACCCATCCTGGTATCAATCGGGATTAGGGAGTAGGGTTTGGAATTGATCGAAATTCTCGAGCTCGTGGTTTAAATTGCTCATTGATTAGGCGCCACAACTGAGCTCATCTAACAAGAATTAAAGTCATCTAAATGAGATTAGTTATGGCACCTTAATCAATGAGTCATTCACCCACGGATAATTCATGAAGAAAGCGGAAGGCATCGACAGTATCCAAAAAATTGGTGATTGGGATGGAAAGATAACACAGGAAATCTGAGAGGAAGGCAAAAACCAGGAAGATATGATGCAAGCCACGGCAAGAGAGTTCAGATCGGAAAAGAGTGAGTTCGATGGTTCAGAAAATTCATCGCCAAACGGAACTTTTGGATCAGAAGGAATCTGATGAGAGAAAAGAGAATTAGGTTTTCGGCGGCGAGGTTGGAGCATGATGCAACCCCTATCTAACCCTAGACGTGGATGCTGGGGCCTTTATATAGAAAAGCACAGGTTCTTTTTTTCGCCCCCTTCCGAGTTAAACGGCTTTTTTTCCATTTATAGTTTATTCTTGATGCCCAAGAAAATATCGGATCTGATCTGATCAGCTTTGGTATCTAGAAGAATTGAGCTATTTATGTCGTTTAAATTTAAATTACGCTAAACAATAAAAGGATTTAAATTATTTAAAAATCATCTACGGCAAAAATTTATCTAATATTTAATATTTCTAAAGGGTAAAACACTTGCACATTTTTGGGAAAAAATCTGCTCTCATAATTCATAGAACCCAATCAAAATTCCAAACAAGTGAAATTTGTGTAACAAAATATTTGCCAATAATTCACTGGTACCGATTCGCCAACTTTGGACGACTCCACTTCATTTTTTTTTTTGCTGGCCCAACCTGGCTATGTAGTTGGCCCATCAAGTCGAAACCAACCATAATACTTGTTGCAAAACGCATGTCGTATGTTCTGCCTGAGCTTGAAGTTTCCAAAATTTCAAAGCAAGCCTCTAATAAACCAAGTTATTATTTGTCACTTATAATAATTTTTCACATACTAAAAAGAGTATTAAATAGATAAAAAATTTTACTTTCACCCTTCTTAAATAGCTAGTATATTTTTGGAAAAATTATAAAAAAAGACCTTGGAATTGTAAAAACGCAGATAGGGACCCTTGACAACTTCACTTTGGGTTTTGACAAGAATAATATGCCCTGAAGTTGTCAAAACCCAAAGTGAAGTTGTCAAGGGTCCCTATCTGCGTTTTTACAATTCCAAGGTCTTTTTTTACAATTTTCTCTATATTTTTTCCCAACATATTCGCTCTTTAATTTCTTCACCTTTATAGTTAATGGGTAAAATTGGAAATAAAATATTAAAAAGGGTACAAATAACAAATGACAAAGACTAAAGTCTCCTCCTACAAGTAACAAATGATAAGCACCAGAGTGGTACTTTCACATCACTAGTTGTTTGATTTAGTTTATTTTAAGTAATATTGCACCTTCCCAAAATACCCATTCCTCTCCTTCTCTTCCCTCCCTTTTCACACATGCCAAATAAGATTAATTCTTCTCTAATCTCCCTGTCTTATCCCTTGAAAGTTCATCCTCCCTCCTAAGAAACATGGGCCTATACTTGTCTCGATTTTATTAATTCATGTTTATTGAAAATATCAATTTTTTAAGTCTCCCAGCGTGTCAATTTTCTTCCTCATAAAATTCATAACATGGGCATGTGTGAGGCTAGGGTCGCTGAGGGGTGGGGCATGTCAGATGAACTACAAACATGGGGCTACACAAACGAATATGGATATTCGCCTATTTAGATGGAATAGACGAATATGAATGCATTATAAACAGACAAATATATAATTACTATATATGTTTTTTTTTGGTCAACTTCACCCTTTTAACAGACCAAAAAAAAGCTTACAAAACAGATAAAAATGGATCTTGAATTAACAACCTCACGTTTAAAAAAGTACTACCTCCGATATTTAATATAGGACCTCTTTTGATTTTTATTTTGATCCTAAATATAAGACCCTAATCCATTTTGTTTCTAATATTTATGCATTTTTTTTAAAATAGTCCTTCTAACAATGGTAATTTTAGCCAATACACTTGATTAGTAATGATATTTTAAGAAAGAAAACACTTATTTATGACAAATAACTAACTTAATTTCTTTTCTTAATCTCCTCAAATCAGTTAACCATCTCTTATAATTAGGATCGGAAGTAGTATTAGGAAAGAGGTTGGATGCTAATTGGGTTATACAAGGCCATGATAATTTTGACATGGGTCTGATGAAGGCATTTTGACCGCCGAAGAAAGTTTCAAGGGCTGAACATATTCAATTGTTGCTTGTGAATAATGTCTGGATTGATGCCATTGGGCAGCCAATAAAATAATTTAGAAGCCAATACTTAATATATGCATCCATCAACAATAATAGCAAATATGGACAATAACTCTTCTCCAAGAAATGAAGAAAATATCTTGCAGGATGGACACTGTCACCGACGCAGAACTCGGATTATGTTGCTCATCAGTAGATATATAAATTATATTGCAACATTAACAAAACACGTCCATATCTTATGCAGTTACAGCATTTTATGTATTCCTCCGGCCAATAGGAGCTAATTAGGAAATTAATGCTGATTCTGTATATAAGACTTATTTCACATGTTTATCAATTTTTTTCAAATTAATTCTATTGATATTTTTCTAATAATAATCAAGCAGGAGAGGGGAGAGAATTAAAAAAGAAGCTTAGAGTGTTTTAAAAAATATATATCATATTAACTAATTTAACTAATATTCTTAATCTATTCAGATTAGTTAATTAGGTGTTATACTAAGGATTGGATGAGTATTTATATGTGTGTGTGTGTGTTTGGTACACAGGTCAGGTTGTTTAGATTAATGTCTGATAATTAATTAACAAAGTGGGAATTTGATATATTCAGCCAACGCTCTAGCAGCATCTTCATTGTGGCCTCCGGCCGCCTCAAATTAAAGCCAAATAACTTTATAATAATGAAGTCTTTAATTTAACTAAGGAGGCTTTATATGTGAGGACAAATCCCGTAATATAGATGTAGCGCACATCAACCAAGGATAAGGTTGAGCTTCACATAACTTCATTAATTAGTTAAATTTCAAGTAATTAAGATTTGACCCAGTTATAAGATTATTTCAGTTCTTTTTGGGAGGGGTGCAACCTAGGAAGTCGTCATTACGTGTAAACGTTGACTCATACGAAGACACATGAACTGCCCATCCAACCACGGATGTTGTCACTTTTGTTTTTGAAAAAACCATTATTGTTGGACTAACTGGGAAATGAGCTTCAGTACTCACCACAGTAATGAGTATTATGATGTTCATCATTACAGCAAATTTTAAATTATTCAAAATCAGTTTTAATGGTTTGTATTTAAAATTTTCAACTAGTGATTTTTAAATAAAAAATTTATTTTTTTAAAAACATATAGTTAAGATATTACATTTATTTTGGATTATTTACCTATTAAAAGAAAAATATTTTTTAAGAAAAATTTAAATAATAAATCTCAGCTATCCATATTAAGTTTTAATGGTTGAAATTTGATAAGTAATTGAGTATTCTCATCACTGCCATGACCACTGAAACTGGTAGTCACAAGTGGTATCGAAAGAATTTATTTTAGTTATGTGTGTTGGGGGGAGGGGCTTTGGGATTTTTCTACGATTAGTCCAACGAAGCTACAGATATCAACATTCACGAGTTGGCCTTTCATAATTTAAAGCCATATATTATCTTTCGGTTATGATGAAATCCTTGGCTTTCTTACCAACCAAACAATCATTGCCCATCAGCATCTGGCTATATATGATTTGCCATTTTCTCAGACTTTCTTCTTTCATCATTCTTCTTCTTTAAAGTGTAATTAAATTCAAACACGATGAGCAGCAACACATCGGAGCCTGATGATGGCTCCTCGGCAGACTTAAACGGATATGCCTATTACTCCTTCGGACTATCCGTCGCAGTTGTTCTTCTCTTCGCCTTAATCACTTTCCTCTTGTACTTGTACGCCCGCAGAAACGCCACCATCAACACATCTCAACTATCACCAGATTTCACCCCCAGCTTTCGCTTACAGACCGTCGGAGATTCGAACCGTCTGCAAGTAGGTGTGGATGAAGCCACCCTGAAGAGTTATCCGGTGATGTTATACTCCGAAGCGAAGCGCCATCGGAAGTGTGATTTGGCGGCCACTTGCTCGATATGTTTGGGGGATTACAATGAAAGTGAGTGGCTGAGGGAGTTGCCGGATTGTGGTCACTTGTTTCACCGGAAGTGTATCGATATGTGGCTGAGGATGAGCCCTTCGTGTCCGCTGTGCCGGACCTCGCCGCTTCCGACGCCGGTTTCAACTCCGCTGGCCGAAGTTGCTGCCTTGGCAAGATCAGGGGCTTGAGTTTATTGGAAGGTGTTGTTAAGTTACTTCAATTAATATTGATTTGTCTTTTTCGCAGTATTGCGTTGTGTAATGTAATGGGACTTTTGCTGGCTCGGTGTGTTTTTGGAGATCCAACTCTTTTTTTCCCTATTTCGCGGACACGTGTGTAGGGGCTTATTATGGGTATTTTTGGACGTGGAGGAGAAGTCTTTGAAAAAAAACAGAGAGAAGTCTTAGGTTTTATACTTTATACGATAATGATGCATTAAAATAACATATGTAAAGATAACTATTATAAATATAAATTCTAATTGAATTAATATAACTTTTTGTCCTTAAAGTTTATGATATTTGGTTTTGGTTCCTCAAATTTCAAACCCATGATTTTAACTTTTAAAATCTAGTTTGTTTTAAAACGTTGGTCCTCGAAGGTGTAACAATTTTAAAATCTACTACAACGTCATAAATAGTGCAAAGTGGTGATATAAGTTCACTAGACAGCACCTAGTTGAAAATGGGGAAAAAGAATAGCTTCTCAAAACAAAGTGCCCCATTTTTTTCTTCATTATTGTTTATTTTAGAAGCTGTTCACTGAATTGCATTCTATTTTCTACACAAGAACAAGATAGATCCCATCTGATGAGTCCACATTATTACTTTTTAATGTTATTAATGACATTTCAACAGATTTTAACTTGTTGCACCTTTAAAAATTAATATTTTAAAACCAGCTAAATTCTAGGGACTAAAGGCACGTGTTTAAAATTTAAGGGACTAAACTCAAAATGAACCTAGATCAAAAATTATATTTAGCCATTTGAATTTTATATATACTTGCATGATTTCCTATCACCATCTCTACACACACATATATGTATCGGGATAAATAAATTTACAATTATCCCAAATCTATTGTTTCCGGTTTAAAAGAATTCTTTACCACTCCTCCTCTACAAACCGAATTAAAAAATTTACAATTTATTCTGTATGTTTGTTTCACAAGGGATAGCAAAGACATGTTAATAATTAATTTTATTGCCTAAGATTCAATTGTAATTTTCTTTTATTTTAATCCATATATACCAAACATAATTGTTTCATTACATCAGATTCATCTTTCCATCTCCTTTTTTTTCCCTTGGTTGTTGTTAACTTATAATTTAATGTATCAAACAAGACCTTGAGAACACACAAGCGAGCTTGTGTTGCAGCAGGAATCGCAAAAACCATGCCTTCACCAAACATATCCTCAGTTGGGCGATCAAGTAATGGTTTTTATTTATTTATTTATTTATTTCAATTTAGGTAAGATTCTCGAATAATTAGTGAGTTAATAAACAGGGGCAAGAAACTTGCTTTTTCTTAATTTGTTTTTAAGCGAGCTGACAATAATCTCTTATTCATCTTTAGCCGGGTGGTCTTTGGAGGACTTGGGGCTTGTTTGGTTTTTATTTATAAGCAGATTTTTAATTATAATTTATGAAATAGAGTTTTATCTCAACTTATATAAAAATATGTATAACCACTTAACAAAAAAAACCAATCTAAACGGGCACTTAAAATTCAAGGTCAATTGTTTTTTTTTTTTTTCAGAGGGAGCAAGAGAGAGCAAGAAAGCCTAATTGAACTGCTAACCAGAGCCGAAAACTTGTTTGGTCATATCGGCACAAAGCCATAGCCCAATAGGATTTTGAAGATCATGATGAGCTATAAACAAAATAGAGCCTAAATCCCAAACAGAGCATTGTTTCAAGAGCAATTATAGATCTCATCTCTTCAACTGCCCAGTGACCAAGAGCCACAACTAACCTGGTTATAGCAAAACCAAAGCCATCTAAATGAAGTTGGTTATGATACATTTAAAATAGTTTATAAATAATTTTTTAATCGTGATTTATGAAATACGAGATAAGTATGTGAGAAGAGTTTTGTCCCAACTTGCATGATCATATTTATAAGTAATTTCTAATGCTATGTCAAATACGGCCTTCACCAATGGGTTAAGCTGCCCTTGGCCATAACAGTCGATATAGATTCTCATATCCTAAGAATAAAGGAGAGGAGGAATGTTTCGTAGCTGCGATCGAATCTAACGAGTGGAAGAAAGTGGATAAGATTTGGGAATTGGGAATAAACATACATAAATCTGGAGATTTGGCAAGGAAGAGAGGAAATCTGGGAAAGCCAAACCTCATAAATGTGAAAGAAAGCATCCATCAACTATTCATGTATGAACTGGAATACTACCTCCGATGCTTCAGTATTTTCATCACCAAACGGAGATCAGCTTTCGTATCTGGACCATCTGATGAACTGTGCAAGACGCAAATTAAAATAGAAAACATAAATGCTTGATGGGCCCGGAGAGGTTGACAGGGCAAGACAGTTTGGCCCAAAGTGAACTCGGATCTCATATGTTAAAAATGACATGGCACGCAGCCACTCGTGATGGTTTAAATCGCAATTTAAAAATAGAATTATATATATAAAGATAACTTTTTTGTTCGACACAAATATCTTGCTACAAGCAATTCTGTTTGGAGCACTCTCAGGCACTAGCAATCTGGACAGAAATAAAAAGACAATTTATTAAAACAAAGTAATATACGTATACACACAAATTGAACTTCCATGCTAAAATTATTAGGTTCCTTGCACACACAAAAATTATTAGGTTTCACTAATAAGTTGCTGCTTGAGATGACGAGAGATCTTACTCTCATAAAGACAAAAACACAAGTTTAAATATCAGAAAACATATTTGTTAGGATAACTTTAGTTTTAAAGTTTCTAGCCTGTCATAATTAATTTTAAGTTCAAAATGACTATGAGTTATACCAAACAAAAAAAATATTGGGTTTCTTGTTTTACTTTACCTATAGTTCTGAAAAGCTTATTTTAGTTTAGTAAAAATGTGTTGCATTGTGATTAATAGGTACCGTAACATATAACATATTTTCTATGAAATGAATAATGCAACGCCGCATGAGCGGAACGCGTAATTCACAGATGGACGCACGCACTCATCATCACATGTACAATGGCACAGATTTCCTGAACCGTTCCTTTTTAATTCAAGATGGCTATCAATGCTTGTTTCATGTAACTCTCATGATGAATATATCATTGGGTTAGCAATCATATATACTATAATTGTTAATATAAAAGCTCATTTAATTTTTATTTTGATCCCGAATATAAAACCTAAATTCATTTTATTTTTTATATTTATCTATTTTTTTTAAAGGTATATTCTTATAGTATAATATTGTAGTTCTAGTAAATATATTTGATTTTTTTTTTAGCGAAGGCTAGTGTATATACTTGATTAGCATGACTATTTCAGAAAAGACAATGTATATTTATTATAAATAACTAATTTAACTAATTTTTTCAATCGATTCAAATTAGTCAACTAGTTCTTATATTAAAGAACGGAGGTTGTATATCAAGACACATAAAATATGGAACAGATGTGTGGCAGAATTTCAAACAATTTTGTGACTATTTAAGTTAATACTACCTTCGGTTTTTAATATAAAAGTTAGTTTACTAATTTGAATAGATTAAGAAAACTAGCTAAATTAGTTATTTGTAATAAATAGGTGTTGTCTTTCCTAAAATATCATTGCTAATTAAGTATATTAGCTAGAACTATCATTATTACAAAAACTACTTTGGAAAAAATAGATAATTATGAAAAATAAAATGAATTGGGGTCTCATAATTAGAACCAAAATAAAAATTAAGTAAGCTCTTATATTGGGAACCTGAGGTAGTATATGAAGTTGTTTGCTATAAATTTTGTAGTCGCAAAACTTGGAACAAAATCTCATGTTTTTGGTGGCAAATCCACATAACAAAAAAAATTGTCACAAATACTACCTCTTATTTTAAATATAAGAACTAATTAAGAATTAAATTTGATATTAAATATAATATCTCAATATCCAATTTGTCTCTCAAATTTGTAATTTATTCTCTAAACTATACTATGTATTACACATGTTAAGAGGTTTTCATCCAAAGCTAGTCGTGATCATAAATGGTATTTTAGAAAAATTTACTTATATTTATTATAAATAAATAACTTAATTAATTTTTTTAATCTATATTAATTAACCAAGTAACTTATATTAAGCATTAAGTGTAAGTACGTTGGGATTTCAAGATCCACAAGTCTTCATAAGCGGCTGGCATTGTTATTCCGGATCCCTCATTTCTCGTGTCAAGACTTCATAAGAAGTACGTCATGTGTTTGTTTTGGTCTGCCGGAAATCGAACAATTCTTCCATGGCTCTCTCAGCAGCAAGCGGTTTTTCACGGGACACACACACACACACACATCCTACGTTTGTATCCAATCCTTATCAAGCTAGTCCATCACATTGACTTTGATTGTCGATAGTTTATTACTAGGTATAAATTTCATTTCAATTTATGTTAAGGAGCCTTAGAAATCAGTTGGAATAATTTTAAAAAAAAAAACCTAACTGGATGAAAAATGGCAGTATATGCATGGCATGAGTCTCGAGTCAACTGACATTTTATCCAAAAGTCCAAAAGTTGAAGTAACCTCCTTTTGACTTCTAACTTTTAGCTGCTGGCTTTTTGTTCAGATTTAAATCTCTTGAAACTAACCTATTTAATATATTATGCCTGAACAATTTTTTGTCAAATTAAAAACTCAATCAAATATAAATAAAATTATATCAACTGACTTATACCTCAACAGATAAAAGTCACTTTTGCCTATATTAATCCAAACTAGTGCAATTCATTAATTAAACTGGCCTCTCAAGATTCAAAAGAACACGTAACCCACATATAGAATAGAATAAAACATTCAGTTTCTTGCACCTTACCCAACACAAAATATACAATTAAGTATATTTGCACCTATACATATGTATGTACACGCCAATCATATTCCCATATGTTAAGAATGTGCGTGTGTGTGTGTGTGTGTGTTTTTTTTTTTTTTTAAGCAGAAGCTACTAACTAATTGTGTTATAATTGTCTATCAGACCATCATACGGATGTTGATTATATATGATCATTGATTTGCGCAATAAATTTGTCTTCATAGCATCACGTTTCTTTTTATACGATGATTTATTTGATGCTAGAATCTTCGTATTAAAAAAAATGTTATCTCCCTATTTTATGAACTGAAAAAAAATCAAAATTTTACGTACAGCTGGAATCTGGCCAGGTCAAATTTAGGACTTTATTATTTGAGATCAGTCTATGTACACATTTTGACCATGGATGAAGTTTAATAGGCAACCTTACGTATGAATCTGGACAGCTCTATATTATGATCATCCAATCAAATTTACTAATTCACAAGACGAAACTTAATACGATGTGCCGCGGGTCTTTCATATGAAAACTGGATGATTAATTTAAAAATATTAAGAAAACCAGTTCAGTTAGTTATTTGTAACAAATATAAATTGAATTTGACTTGTATAAGTTATCATCCTTAATCATGTGAATTGGAAAGAATCTCGTTAAATTAATTGAGATATTTTGGAAAAAAAAAATATAAATTTAGGAGATAAAGTAGATAAGATATTATATTTAGAACAGATCCAATTATTTAACTAGCTTTTATATAAAAGACCAAAAGTCGTATATCAATTTATACACCCACAGTTTTGACAATGGTATGAAGAAATTAATGAAGCAAGTAATCTTATAAGATGGACATCGCAAATGTTCACATAATCATACTTAATAACCACCTCTGCAAAAGAAAATGAGTGTATATATTAATCTGGCACTGATGATGTTAAGGATTCAGAGTATTATTACAGCATTATTATATGCTTAATAGTTAATACTTTGGTCAGTTTGCTTACAAGCTACAACATAGTTAATTATATAATTAACGAAAAACGAATTTGAAGTTTAAACAGCTAACCTATAACAACATACTACATATATATCGTTGTATATTCGCCTCCAACCATTGAAGTCAAAGACTAAAATGACTAAGGCTCTGTTTGGATAGCACCCCAAACCATGGTTTGGGGACCCAAACCATGGTTTGGGGAAAATGCTACCCAAACAGCCTCTCCAAAAATCAAAACCATGGTTTTGGGTCAAAACCATGGTTTTGACTCCAAAACCATGGTTTTGACTCCAAAACCATGGTTTTGGAAAAAGCAAAATTTTTTTGCTTTTGGAGAAAAAAGGGAGAGTGTGAGGGCCTATATGATATGTATCTTGTTATTTTTTTTATAAATATATTTAATCTTATATTTTATAAATATATATAGACATTAATTAATTATTAATTATATTATCTTATGTATTATTAATTATGTTGGTAAAAAACATATTATTAACAATTTTATTTCTTCAAATTAAAATATATCATAAAATCTATTTTTTCTGTAATTATCATATTAACTTATGTCTTTTTTTTAGTAATTTGTATATATAAAAAGTGCTTCTGATAACAACTATCCAAACACTCTCACTTCTCAGAATCACTTTTTTACAAAATCTATTCTTCACAGAATCTATTTTTTCCAGAATCTATTCTCCAGAATCACTTTTCCAAACCAAGGTTTGGTTTCATCCAAACACACCCTAAGAAGGGGCCTTTCTGTGAGATTTTTTTTTTGGGGAAAAAATCACTGAAAGATAAGGTTGACTTTCAAAAAATTTTATTAAATTTCGAGAGGGATTAATTGAACATATTAAATTTATATTCAATTCTGGCCAAGTTGATTAAGGACTTTTAAACTAGTGTGCCACACAATCTTTTCCTATTTGCATAGGAACCTGGCAAGTTGTTATTGGGAAAGTTACTCCACCCATAAAATAAGAAGTCAACATCCCAAATGCAAGTCCCTATCATTTTCTCCCCAAAATTCCATGATATTTTTTAATCCATTGTACGTTCTTCTGTATTATATTCTAGGGTTAAGGTGCACCACTGCATCTATCACCCTTAAATATTTTTTCAAATATATCCAACACTCTAAAATATTTTATGATACGTTCAACATCTCAAAATATTTTTTAAGTGCGTCCCACCCTAAAGTATGCTTTTGCCTTGGTGTTGGATGCATCAAAAATAATTTTTGAATGATGAACACACCTAAAAAAACATTTTGAGGTGTTGGATACATTAAAAGGTACTTTATAGTATTGGACATACATAAAAAAATATTTCAACATGTTGGATGCATTATAAAATACTTTAAGGTACTAGATATGCCCGAGAAAATATTTCAGGATGTTGGATGCACCTTAATATGATATTATGGGCAACTCATCATTTCATTTGACAAAGTATAAACTTTATTTTCAAATAATTTTTTGGACATAATTCTTTCCATGGTCATGCTACATTATTTACATGAAAATTTTATACTTTTTAATAACAGACGCACACACAAAACTCCGACTTCCCTAAAGATGATGTAACATTAATATGACAATAATGTATCGTTGAATTAGGAATAGTGGTTGGTATCAGTAGAATTTGATTAAAAAAACCATAATTTTAAGAACTAAATCTTTAAGAAAAAGATATCATTACAAGAGCCTTAATCCAAGTTGACCATAGTTATAGAGACTAATTAAAACCTAGGTACTTGGATTTTATTATATATATTGATGGCTATGGATATTGATGAGGCTTGCATATTGTCATTCTGATAAAAGAAAAAAGAAAAAAAAAAGAAGACGAAACATATATTGGTGATTAGATTATAATGCATTTTATTATTTAGCCATGAATATCGTTTGCGAATTATATTTTTTTATCTGTCTAGGGGGTCCAAAGATATCATCAGTTGACCTTGGATATATAATAACTAGAATAATAAATAAAATCTTTAGCTTCCTTACCAACCAAGTGCACATTACTATAACACGACTTCATCGCTCCCTCAAGATCCTTTAATTTGATCCTCCTTTATTTGTTCTTCGTCTTCTCGAAAGTCTGATTAAATTCGACGACGCCGATGAGCACCAACATAACGGAGGCGCACTCTAAGCCGCCGTTTAGCGGATACGCCTATTACTCCATCGGCCTATCCGTCGGAATTCTCCTTCTCTTCGCATTCATCACCGTGATCTTGTACTTCTTTTCCCGCAGAATCGCCATGAATTCGACACAACTGTCACGAGTTCGCAACGCAAGAGTTGGCTTACAGACCATTAGCGTCGGAGATGCTCCGGCGACGGACAGTCCGCGATTAGGTGTGGATGACGAGACGTTGAATAGTTATCCGGTGTTGTTATACTCAGAAGTGAAGCGTGACCGGAAAGGCGGCGCTGCCCGTGGTGGTGATTTTGCGGCAACTTGTTCGATATGTTTGGGGGATTTCAGTGACAGTGACAGGTTGAGGGAGTTGCCGGATTGTCATCACTTGTTTCATCAGAAGTGCATTGATATGTGGCTGAGGATGAACTCTTCGTGTCCGTTGTGTCGGACCTCACCGCTCCCGACGCCGGTTTCAACTCCGCTGGCCGAAGTTGCTCCCTTGGCAAGATCCTCAGGGGCTTGAGTTTGTATGTATTAATGTTTAATCATAGGTGTCGTCCAAATATCGTTGTTCCAGCATGAATCGATATGAATTGATTTTTTTCCCCAATTTGTAGAGTAGTGTTTTGTATAATTGGAATTTTGTAACGTCTAGGTCATGTTAGAAAAGCCTAATACTACAAATATATATTTGTTAGTCCGGTTATAAATATAAGACCCATTTATAACATAAATTACATTATAAAGTGAATTTTACATTTCAGACCGGTTTGTTTCTCTAAAGTTATTCCCCTATTATAGAAGCTAACATTAATAATATAAAATTCCAAGTGGATCCTCAACTTTTCGCTTAGAAGAGAGGATATATATGCGATCTCAAGGCCATTGTGAATTTAATCCCTCTATCATATTTGGGGATGATATGGGAAGAAATTAAAAATTCGACTGGTCTCTTTGTTTCTCCCTTTTTTTTTGATGTGTTTTTGTGTGTTAAAAGGGAGCTCAAAGTCTCTAAAAATAAATCCGAAATAAGTCTAAGTTTATCCCTTATATAATAACATGCGTTAAAATAAAATAGCAAATATCTCTTTATTCAACATGTCTCTTGTTTTCCCCACTTTTGTGTGTTAAAAGAAAGCTCGAAATCTTTAAAATATATACGTGAAATAATTCTAAGTTTATGCCTTATATAATAATGGGTTAAAAATAAAATAATAAATATCTGTTTTGGCCAAAAGAATAAAATAATAAACATACAGATAAGTCCAAATAAGAATTTTATATATAATTATATATATGGTGTTGTATCAGCATATATAAATGCGCGAGGGAAGCATAAATGGACGAATATATCACTGTCATGAATTATAAATTCTAACTATATGGGAGTTGAATAAATAATATTATCTCTGGTTTTTTAATATAAGAACTAGTTGACTAATTTAATTAGATTAAAAAAGTTTGTTAAATTAGTTATTTATAATAAATATGTGTTGTCGTCCCTAAAATACCTTGTTAATTATGTATATCAGCTAGAATTATCATTTGATGAAATCTTTAACATGGTAGCTACTTCAAGGACTACTTTGAAAAAATAGATAATTATAAGAAACAAAATGAATTAAATTCTTATATTTATGACCAAATTGAAAGTACATAAGAGGTTGTGTCCCATTAAGTAATTAAAACATTTAATAATTTTTTTTCATACTGAAGCTTAGTTTAATGAAACAAGAAGATCGATGAGTTATAAATTATCCCCAGCTGATATTCATATAACATGAAGTTGAGTTGCAAACAACAAGAAGTAATGAGAGTGGGTGTTTGGGATTAAACGCAAAGCTAGGACCGTAGAGACCTATTATTACAGGGAAGGATTATCTATACTACCCTTTCCCTTCGTTTTCATCCATTTCCTATCTCAATTATTATACTACTTCTTGTCCTACTTTGACATTTAATTTAATTCTAAATATAAAATCTCAATCTCTTTTGTCTCTTATATTTATTTATTTATTTAATGTAATCCTTATAGTAGTTATATATATATTAAATATTTCATCAAATAGTAGTTTTAACTAATATACATGATTAGGGAGGGTATTTTAGGAAAGACAACACCTATTTATTATAAATAACTAACTTAACTAATTTTCGTAATCTTCTCAAATTAGTCAACTAGTTCTTATATTAGAGGGTGTTTGGTTTTCCGCAAAAGTGTTTTTTAGAAACACTTTCATAAAAGTTGAAATAAAACTTCTCTCATATACTTACTATGTATACTATAAAATTATTTTTAAAATCATAATTTAGTTTCTACCCAAACAGCTCCTAGGTACCGGAGGTAGTACCATTCGAACAGTTCATATTTCATATTTTATAAAAAAAATTTATTGCTGTTTAAGATTATCAAACTAAAATTTAGTAGTTTAGTTTTATTTATCTATTTTTCAAAAATTAATATTTTAATAATACTTTTATAAAATATGGAATCTGAACTGTATCATATTTTAATCTCCTAGTCAATCTGTCAATGTTAAAAGTGGATGGAAGTGGTTTTTTTTCCCCCACCGTTTGGATGATATATATATATATATATATATATATATATAAAACCAAGAACTTGAATATGATTATTGTTACCACTACTATTACTACAATTACTATTATTACTACTACTATTTGATAAAGGACTTGGATTAATTAACTGGGATAGAATGTTGAAAAAAGTTCATGTATATTACAGGGGCTTTTGACTTAATCGCAAGATAAGAGCGTGTATCGTATATGTAGTAGTTATTGTCTCTAGTAATTTTTTTTTTTAAAAAGGCCAAATCGTGTGACGTGTGTGGTATAGAAATTAATTAGTTATACCAACAGAGGTTGAGTCTAACAGAAGAGACTAGTTCCTCATAACATAAGGAATCAAAGTTCGAATTCACGTTGAGAGAGGTGCTCACATTTAGTATCCGACAATGCCTTCAGTAAGATTGCCTCCAATAGGAAGATACCTATACTTTAGCAAAAAAAAAAAGTTATGACATATATTTATTAACTTCATGTATAAAGAAGCCAACCAATATAATACAGTTTTTAAGCTACATTATTATGTGATTCATGATTGTATAAAGTGCTAGGTTGGCTTTGCGTTGGATCAAATCATCAAAGCATTATTATAAGATAAGCTGGATTATGGTTTTAACTTTATATCTTCGCTCAACCTCCAGAAGTAGTAGATGATGATGAAAGATAATTGGCAAATACTAGTATTTTGATTATATTAATGTATCATTTCTTTTTAAAAAAATTACAAAACCCATTTTAGCTTACATATATAACTAATAATTAGGTGGACCAATTTCTATCGCAAGTGCTATATATTACTCCCTCTATCTCTAATTATAAGATTTCTTTTTTTGAATGGATTTGTCCCTTTTTATAAGGTTCTTTTTGAGTTTGTCTGAACATTGAATGTATTATTACCTATTTTACCCCTAATAAATTTCATATATTACATTCTCTCTCTATTTATCTCATTATTACTCTCTTACATTTATTAGGGGTATATTTGGAAAAAAAATTATATTTATTACATATTAATTATTTTTAACTAATTTTAAGTGTTTTCTTAAAAAGCGCAATTTGGCCAAAATGTTCTTATAATTAGGGACGGAGTAGTATAACCAATTTGTCTGTTGCTTTGGCAGAAACTCATTTTAAAGTAGACTTTAAAACATAAGGAGCATTGTTTAAAGCATTGTAGTTCTTCTACAATGCTTCAAGTGCTTCATTATAATTTATTATCTCGCACATATTAAAAATATAACAAACAACTTGTTTTATTTTAAAATTTCTTATCATTGTATATATTAAAAATATGAAATCTTTATTAATTTCAGAATCTATTCCATCTATTAAAATCTAAAACTAATTTATTTAATAATTATATAAACAAGAAAATGTTAATATGATATTTTAGAAACATATCATTAAAAATACTTTTTAATTTCAATAGTCAAAGTCAGATTGACAAAGAGAAAGAAAGAACGCGGATTAATTAAAAAAACACAGAGCACACTTCAAAGCACTTAATTCTATCGCGCATGTGGCTTTTCTTTGAGATCCAGTTATTTGGAACTTTAACTTGATTATCCAACTTTATTATCAGGATTAGCTCGTCAAATATTGGCTTTACCTAATTCATTTTTAAACCTGGAAGATAAACTTATACGGATGGGTAATTCTTCTGGAAAATATTTGGTTAAAGATGGAATGGCAATTCTTTAGTCTCCTATGCATCTTACTAGTTCTTACCCCTTCGACCTTTGGACCTTCTTGTGGAAATTGCCATTTAATTTAAGAACTTGCTTTTTATCTGAAAATTTTTGAGTGGCACCCTTCCTTCTTTGGATATTTTAATATTCATCATCTCAAATCTGACACACTGTGCCTTTTTTACTGATATAAAAAAGAACCGCTTTAATCATCATCTTTTTTGGCCTCTTGTTCTTTCTCTAGAACCTTATGGTTGGTTGCTTCGCCATTCATCTTGAAGCTAGCAGCTTTAATGATTTCAAAGCATAGTTAATTTCTACTCTAATACAATCACATCACGATGGACACTCTCAACTCCTTCATGGAATTATTTGCTGCCTCATTATTATATGGAGGAAGCGCAACTGATTATCATATAAGGGAAAAACAGTCTCCTTAATATCCATGATGCAAGTGATTTGAAAGGAAACTTTTATCTTCTATTTTTTTCTTCCATCAGAATTATTGGATTATTGCATCATTGTGAATCTTTAACATTGCTTTTTCATAACTCCAAAGGTGATTGCAGAGGACATATCTACTCCAATGGACTTTTGCCTACTTCGATGGTAGAAATATATGATAGGGATATTCCTCTCTATAAATATAAAAAGTCTCGAAATTAAAATATTATTGCCATTAAAGTAGGACAACCACTTAAGGAATTTTCGTGGCAGAATCATTTCTTGGTAGGGAAATTGTTTCATACTAAATGTCTTTGGGCCTCATTATACTAGATTCATCATTCTTTCTTATTCCATTTTGCTAATAAGCCAACTCCTGGCTCTCATTGTATCAACAAATGCTTCATTCAGGTTTATAGTTGTACTAGCAACTACTCCTTTGGTCCTATTTATAAGTTACTTTCAACATATTTCATATAGATAAAAAAAATTTTAAACTTCACTAACTCTCATTTAAAATTCAACAATTTTTTTTAACTTTATCCCTATTTAATATATATTATACTTCATGTAAACAAAATCAATACAATAATAAATAAAAGGTAAAATTATACAGTCATACAAAAAATTTCTCTTAGTACCATATAAATAGGACCAAAAAATATTTTTTCTTGCTACCCTATAAATAGAACTAGAGGAGTATATACCACTTGGTCGGAAATTCTTTTCTTCTTGCATGATTTTTCTTGTTACAATATTAAGCTTGTTTAGTTTAATCCTATTGCAGGTTTGTAATAGTAATCTTTATCGCATTACATTAATGTTATATCCAATAATTGCTTTCTTAACTTTAATTCCTTATCAATAGATTTATTATCCTTTTATAAAATGTAACTTTCTTTTTAACTAATCTCATTTTCTCTTTGGTTTTCAAGAAAATAGAGTGCGTGCTTTAATATGTTTAATAGATGGATAAACGGAAAGTTACACCTAAAGATTCTTATATTAAAGTGTCTTGTTTAAAAATGTTTAAAATAATAGTTATTTTAGAGGCTAATGCATTTACTGTTGGCATATTAGATAAACTTCTGCATGTCATCAATTTGTAGTTTTTCAGGGCCACAAAGAGGTAGGAATTTGATTTAAATGAAATTTCTCAGACATTCAATAATAAATTATTTTGTGTTCCAGTGACATTAAGGTTTTTTAACCATGAGTTGGGATTTTTAACCATGATTAGGACCAGAGGTAGTAGTTTTTTATATCTTCGCCATGAAGTCCCAACTCATACTTTTATAAATGAGGTTGTATAATTAGGATAAAAGGTAGTATTTTATATTTATATTAATCATTCAAGGTACAGGAGAACTTCGAGTCATTGTCGCAATCCTCTGGTCTTACCCTTGCCTAGTAGATTCTCTTGGAGAAACGGAATTATACTTTATACTCCCACATTTGTAAGCCAACGAACACATGTCTCGATAAACACACAGGGAGCCAAATAATAAAATAGAGAGAAAATTGAAATATTTTACTATTTTAATTTTTTTTCCTAAAATTTAACTAAAATTCTCATATAACAACTACAGTATTTAACATTTTTTTAAAAGTTATATTATTGGAATTATAATTAGGTCTCAAAAAAAAAATCAGTAAGTTCAAATAATAAGTTAGCAATTTTTATTTACTATCCCAAAACTTGTCATTACAGATTATTCTGTTATTACTGAAACTTTTTAGTAATTATATTCCTTACTTGATATTTTATAACAATTTTCTCCTTGTTGTATTTTAGAGCACCTAAAGTTACTGTTAAACTAGAGCCTAGAGGTTTTAGAAACATTACCGCCGCATTAAAAAAATTCCACAAATTACTTCCAACAATAATATTGTTAAATTATTGTTAAAAAGTTTTTTGATTTCAACAAGGAATCCCTAAAAAACTTTGGCAAAAACTTTGACATAAAAGAATAGTCATAATTTTAAAGGTTCTTTAAGTTGACATAAATATTTGGGAAAATTAAGAAAAAATTTTAAATTTTATTAATGAGAAGACTATGATAAATATGTTAATTACTAGATATTTCTAACTTTTGTCATAAAATTCATTAAATTAAGAAAAAATAACAAAAAAAATCTGTTGAATTTTAACATTTGGTCTTTGAATATGTTTCTTATTAAAAAAGAAAAAGAAAAGAAAGTGTGAAAACCCGCAAATATTTGACCTTTAGCTTCCGTTAATTCCCAAAAGATCCATCATCCATCGCTCCTGATCTTGCCTTTATTTACAGATGAACCTCAACAGCGGCGCCGTCGCCTTCACTTTCGGTATTATTTTCCTAGTTCTATCCATCTGTTTTGCCTGCCTCCGCCTTCGCCGGCTCTCCGGCAACCCCACCATGTTCAATTTTCTTGCACGTCCTTCTGCCGCCGCCATACCAGTTGAAGCCGTCGAACCCCCCGCGGTAGCAGAACGTGGTCTCGATGACTCCATTATCAACAGCTTCCCCAAGCTCTCCTACTCTGAGATGAAGAAAAGCTCTTATAATAATCCCAACAATACTGAAGACCCTTCTAATAATTCCTCTTCATGTTCCATCTGCTTAGCAGATTATAAGGAAGAAGACATGTTAAGGTTGCTCCCTGATTGTGGCCATCTTTATCATCTTCGTTGCGTTGACCCATGGCTCAAGTTACACAACACTTGCCCTGTATGTCGAACTCGAACCTTCCCTTCTGTTAAAGCTGACGATGATCGGTCAAATAACTCCGTCGAGGGGGACATAGTTTGATCGTCGGTCGGCGTTTTGTGTTGCACGTAGATGAAAATACTGAGTCAAATACATAGGATTGAATGAGTCACCATGTTTTCTGTGTATATAAATTGCATTTATTTGTCATATACGCATGTATGGGAATTTTCATTCTAATCTTTCGTTTATATATATAGCCATCTATCATACTTTTCTCTTTTCTGGGTAATTATCTTTATCCTTAGCATAAGCCAAGGATTGTTTAGTATGCTGAAAATCTGGGAAAGAACAAGAAAAATAATGATTTTTCATTGGCGAGACACGTTTGGTAAGCCGTTCTACTGAGAATTCTTTTTTTCTTTGGGAGGATGACGTTTTCCCTTATGTACATGGGAAAATTGATTCCCACCAAATTTTATGGGAACCAATTTCAATCCCCACAAAAAGTAGTGCGAAAGACAAATTTGTCACTTGAAAATATAAATGCAAAGTTACCGTCAGCATCTGAACTACTTTCACTTGGGAATTGCCACATTGGACGAACATTTGTCTTTCAAGAACCAAACATGTCAATGGTTGGAAATTTTTAGTTTTCTCCCTTTTCATTCTCTTCCATTTCTTTCCATCACAGTTAATTCTTTTCCATGCATATAAATGCAAAGTCACAGTTCACTGTCCTCAATTTTTTATTTAAATGCTTTTTCCTTAGCGTAAACTAGATGTCTTACCATTGGTGCGTGTAATTTGGATCTGCCTCCCCCACCCCTAGCTGTCACATTTAAAAAAAAGTTAATTAGAAGAGATGTTTAGCGTCACTCAATTATAAAAACTGGACTATAAATCTGTTGGTGTTTGTGTGTATATTGGGTTGAGAGCCGATCAGCATTATCTCTCTCTCTCTCATCTCTCTCTCCTCCCCACGTGTTTTGTTTATGCAAAGCAAGGCCTAAAATCAAAGTTTCATCATGTGAATGTACTAATACACTGTTATTTTTTAACACAAGAATTAGACAACTAATTTATAAATATTAAAAAAATTAGTTAAATTAGTTATTTGTAATAAATTGGTGTTATTTTTTTATAAAATATCTTTGTTATTTATTTGCATTAAAATGGGGATCGTCTAATAGGTGTAATTACCAAGGAAATTATTTTTAAGAAAAATAAATAAATATGAGAGATAAAGTGAATTAGAGTTTTATATTTAGAACCAAATTAAATCTTCAACTTCTTATATTCAAGACAGGAGGTAGTAATACATTTACTATAATGTAAATAATTAATTTACTAATAAAGAAAAAGCTTACAGCCCTCATTTATGCCTCAACCAACGTTGTCTTGTTGACAAATATTTTGGCACTTTTCAATGCTTGGTCGTGTTCATGGAATATTTACTTTTATCCATTGCTCTTATACTCACTTTCGGTGAGAGCTTTGGGTACATTCAAAACGTGTTACTAACATAATCAAAGTGAGAAACCACTATATATAGATTTGGAAGCATCTTACAGCCGCAAATGGATTAACTTTTTTCATTCTTCGTTTACAACTGGATATTATTGTATTTCCATATTGTTATTAGTTGGCCTCCTCTGGTTAGCACATTAGAAAGTGAAAAAATAATCCATGTCTCAAGCAAAAAGAAATCTAGATATGAAATATTTATATGATTTTTTGTCAGCATTATTCAATAGTACTCCTTCGGCTCTAAATATAGGATTCATTTTATAATATAAATTACACTACAAAATAGGTTTTATATTTAGGACCGGAGTAGCAGTGATCTATATATTGTGCTATGCATAGATATTGGAATGCTAGGTTCATATCAGAAATAAAATTAGAGGTAAAATTACACTTTTAGCAAAAACAAATTTAAAAAGCCTTCTTGTACAGCGTAAGAGCACAGTACCAAAAAATTCTCTATGTCCCTGTTTGTACGACGAATCATCACTTCCCAGTTATCGTGTATCATCCCTCTAGAGGGTGTTTGGATAGAAACCAAACCATAATTTTAGAAGTGCTTTTACGATTTACGAAGTAAATATGTGAAGGAATTTGTCTTGTTTTGCAGAAAAATGCTTTTGAAACCATGGTTTGGAGGTTGCCAAACACCCCCTAATCTCAGCAAATTGTTTTTTTTTTCCTTGGCTACACATAGGTATCCTTCAACCAAAAGCAATCCTATTCAAAATACTGTCAAGTACTAAAGATGGGCATATATAGGGATTCTAATCTTAGCAAATTGTATTTTTTTTTGGGGTTAAAGTATAGGTATCCTCTTATTGAAGATAATCTTATTTAAGACACTATCAGACATTAGATATGTGCATCTCTCTCAAAGAAAATTCAAATCCTGATTCGACACATTGTGAGGGATTAGTGTTTTTTTTTAGATCCAACTACTGTTGGTTAATCTTAGCAAATCGTATTAAGAAGTGGGTCTGGATCATTATTCATTGGAGATCCTTAACTGGCCCACTAGGCCCATTACTAGCGTTGTTCGGCTCTCTGTGAAAACACATCAATCTTCATCAGGCCTTATAGCCACGGCCTCAGGTCTGCTTCATTTCATTTCCGCGACCAAATATCCAGTTCCCTATACCAAAAAAAAATAAAAATCCGGTTCCCAGAAAAGCTAATCCCAGGCACTAGATCGATCATGAACAGCCTCCATATATTTTGTGGAAAGCTTATAATTTTATGAGACAAAATATATTAAGTTCTTAGACTTAGATATTGAATGAACGATGAGGTTCTAATTTCTACGAGGAATTCTGCAGCCAAACGGCCTTCTAATGATGTATTATCATTAGACAAATTAGAACTTCAATCTCTAACTTCAACTCCAAGCAAGCGCTTCTTTTTCAAGTTAAACATGCTAGCTGGAATCTTGGTCAGATCTATTGGACACACACCGGAGATAAAAATACGTTGTTCTATTTAATTTTCCCCTCATAATTCACATTTAACTGATAAAAATAATATAATAGTTAAAGAAGGCAGAAAATTGCCACATTTTGTATTGAATATAAGAGTTAATTAACTAATATGAATAGATTAAAAAAATTAATGAAGTTAGTTATTTGTGATAAATACGTGTTGTCTTCTTTAAAATGCTTTTGTTAATCATGTGTATTAGCTAAAACTACCATGTGATGAAATCTTTAATATGAAACTATTACAAAAATTATCTTGAAAAAAGATAAATATGACAAATAAAATAAAATAAATTTTATATGTAAGATCAAATTAAATACTACCTCCAGTTTTTAATATAAAAACTAGTTGACTAATTTGAATATATTAAATAAATTAGTTAAGTTAGTCATTTGTAATAAATAGACATTGTCTTTCCTAAAATATCTTTGTTAATTAAGTGTATTGGTTAGAATTACTGTTATTATAAGAACTATCTTAAAATAAATAAATAAATATGAAAAATAAAGTGAATTAAGATTTTATATTTAAAATCAAAATCAAAATAAAATAAATTCTTATATTATTTTTTAATATTAGTCTTTGACTAAGCAGAAACAGATAAAGTAACGATGGCTGATTTGGGCACTTTGCTCATTTCCATGGTTGGCTTTCGCGACAAATACCAATTAACAGGTACATAGAACGGCAAGTGCAACTGCTCGTTGGTAATTTGATCTGAAGACAACAAACAGTTCCTATGGCGGTAATTCCTCTCAACTTCCTTTCTTGTTCTTTCTGCATTACATTGCACTTCCCTGGGATTTCCCTCGAAATTTGAACATGTTCTTCATTCGGATTACGACAGGACTCATCGGGGACGACGCTCATGGATCTAATCACGGCGGACCCAACAACGGCGTCGTCCACGGCTTCAACTTCGTCTGCGGCTTCATCTTCAGCGACAGCGGCTCCGGCAACTCACCCAACCGCGCTGGGCAAGCCGGCTGGGGAAAAGAAGTCCAAGAGAGCCACATTTATGCAGATCCAGACCGACACGCTTACCGTTGCCAAAGCTGCTTTAGCCCCAGTTAGGACTAATCTAATGCCGCAAAAGCAGAAGAAAAAGGTCGGGAATTGCATATCTCTCTTTCTCTTCAACAAGCTCTTGTTTAGAGTATTTGATTAGTAGGTTGCTTTATTCAATGATTTAAAAGAGATCGGAGATGATCAGAGTAGTATGATAGTTGGTTTTAAGTTTAACAGCATCACTTGTGCTCGTTGCACTTTAAAAGCTGTGCCACTATTTTCTCACGGTGAGTTGGTAATAAATGTTAAAAATACTCTTGAAGCTTTTATTTGGACAAAAGAGGAAATGGTAATGTATATCTCTGGGTGGTTGATGTGTTGTGCACTTGTACTTACAGCCAGTTTCATATTCCCAACTCGCCAGAAGTATTCATGAACTAGCTGCCACATCTGATCAAGTAAGCATTGGCACTCATGAACTGACAACATCATATTTTTCTCTTCACTGAACACTCTAGTAATATAGTTTGGTTTTGATGATCGTTCAATTGTAGAAAAATTCTCAGCGGCAGCTAGTGCGCCATGTATTTCCAAAACTTGCTGTGTATAACTCTGTCGACCCGTCACTGGCACCTTCTCTTCTCATGGTATGTCTTCAGTTCTGATTGATTTTCTTAAGATGCCATTCCTTGTGTGTACCTGTATACCCATGGACCATTTGTGGTGCTTTCTTGAATTAGATGGCCCTGCCACAGAGTGGGCTATTCTATGGGATGTACAGTAATTTGTCTTTCTGAATTTCATGGGGAAAAATGTGCTTACATAATTTATCTACCCCTGCTTTTAGTCAAATCATATATTATTATCTTTTCCTACAGCTTAACCAGCAATGTGAAGAAAGAAGTGTGCTGCGGTATGTCTATTACTATCTGGCCAGAATTTTGTCCGACACCGGTGCCCAAGGTGTGGGTACAGGGGGTGGGATACCCACTCCAAACTGGGATGCCTTGGCTGACATTGATGCTGTTGGAGGTGTTACTCGAGCTGATGTTGTACCACGAATAGTAGAACAGCTTACTGCAGAAGCCAAAAATGCCGATGTTGAATGTGAGCCCCCCTATTTGCTTGAAATATTTTTAACCATTTGTGGCATAAGGTTGTATGTCTCTATTTGTGAATTCACTTGTATGTATTCCCTTAGAATTTAAAATTGGCCTGAGAGTGAGAAACTGTCGCTTCATGGACTGTTAATCTGAAATTTTTGCTCTGTAGTTGGGCATACGTAGACTTCTGAGGATTTTGTTTATTGATGTTTTTAGCTGGAAGTGAGATTGAGACATTAGAGGTTAGGAATGCATAGAGAAGTGAGATACTTTATTATGAGCGCAAGGCCAGAATATTGATTATGAACAGAAGAAAATTCTTGCTTGGGAGTGGGATTAAGACTCTGGCAATTGTTAGAATATGTTTGTCAGAAAGGTTAAGTTGCTAAAATAGCAGATGGAGATATCCTTTAATATCTGACCACGGAGCTTGGCTTTATCCATATTGTCGGTAAACCTGGGCATATTTTCCTTAAATAAACTAGTTATTGTACATTAGAACAGAACACAATAAATTATATGAATAATAGAGTACAATAGGTTATCAGATTTCTGCGGATGATATTTACGTGAAGTTGAATTACGCCCATTCAAACATTGAAATTTCCATAAATTTCATAACTTCCTGACTTTTAGAAGTTAATAAATCTCCATGTTTTTGGCCATGTTGAGACAGTCTTGACCCTTATTTATTTGGTTGCTTTGAAGTTCATGCACGAAGATTGCAAGCTTTGAAGGCTCTTACATCTGCTCCTTCGAATAATTCTGAAATTTTGTCCAGATTGTATGAAATTGTGTTTGGCATACTGGAGAAGGTTTGTGCTACCCTATAGTCTCTGCGAGCTTTATGAATATTTGTCCAAGCTTGGTGATTTAAAAGGATATTTTGGAGGATATGATTGTGTTGTTAGTCCTTGTGATTTATTAGCTATAAGAGACTGCAAACAGTTTACAGAGAATTATGACTTTTCTTTTCCTTGTTTCTTTAAAGCCTCCTAGGGCGGGCTTGCCCCACTCATTTAATAATTGATCTTTTTATTTCTTATTTTTAAACGTCTTCTTGGATTTTGTTATTTTGAAAGTTCCTAAAATTTATTTCATCATATTTTTGGAGATAATAAAACTTTTGATCCTCAAGTTTGTCTCAGTTATCAATTTGGTCCTTGTAATTCGGTTTTATCAATCAAGTCCCTGAAGTTTCATACACAATTTTATGTTATTTGATCTCATCAGCCCAACAATTTTTCTGCAATCCATGAAGAGGTTGCCATCCTTGAGTTAATGGTTAGACCATGTGTGCTTAGGATTGTATGTCTTCAAACCATAAGGACTAATTGTGTATGGTTATGAAACAACAGCAACAACAACAAAGTTTTGTCCCACTAGGTGTGTTTAGGAATAAAAATTAAACTTTAGCAACCAAATGAATAATTGAAGCACACTTGAGGACTCAATAGCCCTTTTTTAATTGAACAATATTTTTGACTTTGGTGTGCTCCTTTGCAGCATGTTAATTTTGAATTTGGTCAACTATTTGGAAAGTTTGAAATGTGTTATGAGAAGAAAAGATCAGTTACAGTAACATATGATTACTTTTTTTTTGGTTATAAGGCTAGGTTGTGATCCCATGCTTTGGATAGAGTCTAAGATGAGCAGCATTGCTCATGAGTCGAGAGGCTCCTTTTTTATTTTTTATTTTTATTTTTATTTTTTAATTTTTTAAATAAGTATACTTTATTTTATATATTTTGACCCAAGGATATGGGTTTCAGCATCTCTGAAGGGGCAGTGATTAATATGTGATTTTGTTTTCTTGCATAATCCCAAGATTTGTGAATCCATGTTCCTTCAGCTTTCTTAACCTCTTTCATAATAATGTTTCAGGTGGGTGATGCACCACAAAAGCGGAAAAAAGGCATACTTGGTGCTAAAGGTGGTGATAAAGAGGTAAAATTGCTTTGCAACTATCTTTTGGGCTTAACTTTGCTACTTGGTTGTGTTGCTTTGAGTATCAATTGACTTGGGATGAAGTTAGGACAATGTGAAAACAAACCAGTATCTTTGTGACTAATGAAAAGATGATAACTATGATACACAGCTTGGGGAAGTATATATACATAAAATAACAGTCTTGTTAGAGAAGTGAGCTGCATGTGCAGCATAATACATGTTTTGAGGGAAGGAGGTTGTGGGCTTAAGGACACTTAATGGCAGTTAGGGAGGATTTCTATTGGTTAGGATGGTGGAAAATCAGGAGCTGTGAGGGAAGACTGGTGGCACGCAGGTTTTGGGAATCTTGGTGGAGGCTTAGGTTTGGGAATAGATAGGACTATTCTTTCTCTCCTTGCTGGATTTTTATTCAATTTATACTCATGCCCCCAAATTTGGTCTCTCAGCGGCAGAGTTGTCCCCTTTGGAAGGTTACTACGGCACTAATGTTCACTTTGAATGCTCCTAAAGCTTAGTTGGGCAATGCAGTTCTTAATTTTTGTAGCTGGTTACCTCATCAGATGACGCCACATCTCAGACTTGACTTCAAAATGTCTTTGGAAGTTCCTTAAAGTGGCTGGTCCCACTTCATTTAATATGTGAAGTGTTTAATCGTTTGTCTTTTGTTTAAAACTGGACAAGTCTTGGTAATTGGCTAGATTTTAGAGGATTGACATGTGTACATTACTTGTTTTATAATGAAGAAATGCGCGCTTATATAGTCATACGTTCCAATAAAACTATTCTTACCATGGATGTCATTTTATGAGAAACTCAAGCTTACTTGGTGGAATCATAATTATGTGTTAATAATGGTGTGAAAGAGCTGACTGTTACCTTTTCTCCGGTTCTTTCACTTGTTTCTTTCCATCCATCTTTGGAGAAGGATTGCAGCTGGGGGAACGATGAATTTAGCTGAGGGGAAGAGTTACTTGTTTTATAATGAACAAATGCGCTTATATATAGTCATACCTCCAATAAAACTATTCTTACCATGATGTCATTTTATGAGAAACTCAAGCTTACTTGGTGGAATCATAATTATGTGTTAAAATGGGTGAAAGAGCTGACTGTTACCTTTTCTCCGGTTCTTTCACTTTGTTTCTTCCATCCATCTTTGGAGAAGGATTGCAGCTGGGGGAACGA